TAAAGAGATCCAAGTAAATTAATATTATTCGTCTTTTCACTCGATATCTGAACTCTTATCTTTGGAGTTAGCCTTGAAAACTTATCCGAGTCATCGAATATCTCTTTGTTTTTATCCGTAATTTACAATTTCCATTTAATCTCGATCAAACGTCGACATTCCTCATCGAAGAAGGTCGATTTAAAATACGGACAAGCTCGAGGAGATCAAAGTTTACTCGACTTTCACCACAATTGGTTTCTTTTTCTCTTCTCTTTTTGGTAAAGAGACCAGAGCGTCAAAGGAGCGACAAAGATCGAAGCAGATCAAATTTGTGCCGTCCACGATACCTCTCTCGGCCAAGGCAGACTGTCCAACTCCATCGAAGTAATGCCAGCCTGAACTAGCCGAGCAAACCGTACAAGCCGCGATTCAGTTTCTCAAACGGTTCTCTTCTTCTTTCTCCGCTCGACCTGGACTTGAATGCTCTTTTACTGACAAACCAGAGAACAAAGGCCCCGTCTCGTTCTCGTTCTCGTTCTCTGTACAGTGCATCAAACTCCCCCCCAGGCGAATTCTCTCTTTCTGACTCAGCGTGAGATACAATGTATACTCGATATATCGAATAGAAGAAATCGATGGAGCCAGGAGCGAAGCTGTATAATCAATCGGAGTGACACATACACACCGTGGACCTTTGGACCGCCTTGTCTTACTCCATCGACTTTCCTTCGAGTCGCGAGAAACTATCCGTCGTCCAGAAACGCGACGGGCTGGATTCCGGGCTGATCTCTCTTGGAATCGGACGTCCAGAGTGTCTGTTTCTCTTCTCCTCACGATATCGCGCGTGCGTCGTTGAGCGTAATCGCGAGGCGTGCGTACGTAAACGTGAAAGACGGTGACACGAGCTCTCCATTGATAAAAAGCAAGAGGCGATAAGACGGCAAGAGTCGCGTGGTCCCACTATCAGAAACTCCGACGACGACTGGATACGAACCTTCCCTACTTCATACCACGTCCACCAGAACGCTCGGGAGATCTCATCGTGGTGAGGGTAGAGCGACAGAGACGGGAACGGTGGTGAAGATGGTGGGGAAATAAACAGGGGCAAGCGTCGTCCCCACTACGATATTCCTCTCCGACCACCCTCCCACGCGAATTCTGCTCGGGATGAAAACAAGCTGTCCTCTTTCGATTCGATCAACGTTCTTGCAACGACTATTGCACGGCGGTTCTTCGATATTGCTTCTTTTTATGTACGAGAATTTGCATGACCTGGCGTTTCTTTCCATGTCCAATAATTCGTTTTCGGTATGTTGATTCTTTGTTACTTTTATCACGAACACTATACTTTTCGATTGGACATGGAAGAGATTTCCGCGATCTCTGTTTTGAAACATTGTAACAAATATTTTTCCCAGAGATTATATACAAATGTTTCTGTTGAGTCAGGATTCGGATCAAGTAGATTAGAAAGTAATGAAATTTATGATCCATTAACACTATGACGACCGATGACGTGACAATAGCGTCACATGATTCTCAATGTTCGTGATCGATGACGTTACTATAAAGTCATATTATCTTTAGCGGTTAGTGACTGTTGGAAAATGTATATGCTATACGTGTTAGTGTATATTCATTTATTTATGTAAACTTTGAAACACGAGTCGCCCAAAATTATGCCAGCGTATTATATAAACAGTATTTGACGTTAGCTGCGTTGATGTTACTTTAAAATTCTATATCATATGAAAGTGTAATATCCATACATTTGAAATTAATTTTGCATTATCTTTTATCGCAATGATTGTAAATTAAAAATAACTACGGTTTCATTACATAATTTTTATCTCTAGTTTCTAAAAATTCTTGACTTCTAAACTCACATTTGATAATCTAAATCATAGTTTTCGACGATGGATATTAAATTATGTATACTGGATCAGCAAGTTTTAAAGCTCGCATTTTCAGAGTTCAACTCGGTCTCAGCTGCTCGTTGAACATGTGCAACCGCAACATTGTTTTATTTTGTCGACTCTAAAATTATCTTCTCGCAGGAGGGGGCAGAGATGGTGGGGAGGCGATAGGGGCGATCAGCCCTTCCAGTTTCATCACTATCTTCCCCTACTCTTGATCCTTCCCCACCATCGAAACGAATACGAACTGCCAGCTTCTCCGCTCTCACGTTTCGCGTTCGTGTAACCGCACTACTAACCAAAACTGCATATCCTTTGAATTATGCATTCGTTTGAATTATACGTAGCTGTAATGCACGCGGACGCGTGCTCGTACAACTATCTCGCAGGAAATTTCATAAGTTCGTTAGCTCGCCGGTGCAATATAGGAGGCGGAAAATTGAAACACAGTTTACGCGGGAATATACCGATAATTTAAATTGATTTTTAGAGTCAAGTTAAAGCACTCGATTGTTTCAAAAGTAAAAACCCTGTTTCAGCATTCTTTTCAATTCTCTTCAATTTGGAGCTTAGATTTTCTTTTTTAAATTCGCCGTTAAAATGGAAATAGAATGTATTTATCGTGTGACCTGGAGAAGCAAATCTATAGACAATGCTTCCATTTTTCTTTTACATTCCAATTCGAGGCTTCTCCCCAGATTTCATCGAGAATAGTAAACGTTTGAATTTTTTAGCAATCCGCCTCAAACGAGTTTTAAATGAGACCCAACACTAAACTAGTTAGCTATTATCCCGTCGTTCCATCTATAGAGTACGTTATTAATGGTCTTTCGCGAATACCTTTATCGTTCTAATGAAGAAAAAAAGAGGGAAAAAAAAGAGATCGATGCTACTGCTAACAATCTTCTCCTTGGAAATTCAATCACCGTTACGATGTCCAAGCTACTCGACCTCGTTCTATTGCATTTAAATCCCAAGTTCCTCGTATAAGAAAGGCAATAATCTCGCGGGCGTTTTCTTGCGGTCGGTGAAAGCCAGCGCGCGAAAACTCTTCGATATTCTTCGCGGAAAGAGACTGCTTCCGGGGCCGACGGAATTATTATCGACGTGAATAGGACGACGCACAAAGAACACCGGGACAGACACATTCTTCCCGATCCCCTTTGTTCGAGAGGTGTGAAAAGCTACCGAGAGGATTCAAGCAATCTCTCTCTCTCTCTCTCTCTCTCTCTCTCTCTCTCTCCCTTTTTTTCCACGCGAAATTTTTTTTTCGGCTTGCAGCTGTTCACCGCTCTCATTCAGCGGGCGACCGGCCCGAATTAGCGGCGCTGTATCGTTACTGGGATCGGTTGGTTTTCGAGAGGCGACTGTCGGATCGATAACGCGTGATTACGGAAATTTTCAGAGGAAAGATAAATATGGACGTCTGCTCGCGCAAACGTTAATAATGTGATAAGAGACTAAAGCAGATTGAAACTCTTTTGAAAGTATTTGGACACTGGAAACTTTTTACGAATGTACATACGTCATAACCAGAGCATTTTGAAACTTTGTTGGAAATAATTAAATCTTGAGAATTTGTTGATCGTCGTCGATTGCTGATAATAAATGATGGAAATAAATTAACAGATTGAAAACATAGAATTGAATATTCGTTTTATACTATCAAAGGAATGACTGAATAATAGAACTGTTTAATAAAAAATTTCGTATCTCTTCGGGGTAAGATTTCCTGTAATATGGTTTTCAAATTTACGACGGTCTCAGCAGGAAGGTAAAGTTGAATGGGTTTACTATCGTCAGCGAGGGTAATTAAGAATCCGCTGAGCGTATCACGTTTTAAAGAGCACGAAAAAAGACTCGGGGTGCCGTTAATTAATTCGCAATTCCACTTGAGTACGAAAGTTCGAGCGGAAGATCGGTCTGACTTGGTTTATACGCATACATTTAATCGCATGCGAGATCGTGCACTTGCAAGAAACGAAAATAGAAAAAAAAAAAAAAAAAGAAACGACAGAGAAACGCAGAGAGGTCTTTGGACGTTGATTTATCGTAGCGAAATGTGTTTCATCGGTTTATGTTTCTTGCTCGAAACTCGCGATTTCCGGGAAACGTTCAACGATCGTTGCAAGATATACGGATCAAAGAACACAGAAGAAACGTGACAAAAAGCAGAATCAGTTTACTGAAAAAAAAAAAAAAAAAATTACCTGATGATGTTCAAAATGACGTGGAAGTGATTGGACGTGTGATTCTCTCTTCTTCGTTGCTGTTTCGCGAGTACGAGCGTTTCGATACCAACGTCACTGATCAATCGAGCGGCGAGGATTGAAACGAAAACACGATTCAGTAGAAAAATACGATCGAGTTGGGGAAATTGATTTTCAAATGATTTTTGCGCGGAGACACGTGGCGTCGAGACGGCTGGCGTCGTTACGTGTGCGACGCTACCGATGTATGGTGCCTTCACGAATACTTCTCCGCCCCAAGATTCTTTCCCTCCGTCTTTTTCTTTCTTCCTGCCCCGTCCCCCGCGCACCAGCAACCCCTCTTTCGGTGTCCCCGCCGTTCACCACGATAACCCCCACCACGGATTTCCCCTTTCGAACGCAATGGACAGCCATGGGTTCCCGGGAGGCCTGCGAGGAACGTAGCAACCAATTCGGGTGCCACGATCACCATAAATCTCGTCTATATTTTCGACACAAAGATACTGACGTCAGTTGGTTGTCACGTCCGATAATGGACATCGATAGATCGAAGATAATTTCAATTAAATGTTACAGTCGATGAAGAATTCGAGGAATTCACCTTTGTGAAAAATGCAAACACATTTTTTTTTAAACTCGTAGACTTATAAAATTTGTAGACGATCTTGGTTTTTCGGACGATTTTCTTTTTGAAAAAGAATGTGTTACGCGTTACCATGACGTGTAAAGGATGATTTAACCTCCATGAACCCAAGTTATGATATTAGAATTTTAAATTGCACGATGTATATAGGACATTTGCATTTCCGGTTGGCAAGATGTTTCGCATTAATTTTCTGTGTCAACGATACGCCGCTTGCGGGGAAAGATATGTTGAGGGAATCGCGGTTACCTGTGCAACTCGGCATGCTGATGACACTCTCATTCCACTTGCCGTTCTTGCACTCGAGTATCCTTGTCCTTTCTTTACTGTCGGGGAACACGGTGCCGAATTTGCACAGGAAGGTCCTCGAAGTCAGAGTGCCATTCAATACGTAGCTTCCGTTGGGCGCTGAGACATCCGGACAGTTCAACACTGAAACATTAATACCACCAGGCTGTGGAAATTGCTGTTCACTTGCATACGGTTTCTATTCACCGCGTCAAATTATAATTACCGGCGGTACGTCTTGACAATAAACTGACTTGCGATTTCAATCACGTTCTTGCTCATTTGTTAGTCTCTCTTTGCATTGCAGCCTCGCAATACGAACGTTGAATATGAACGTACAAATTATACGTTATAAACATAATTTTGCAATAATTATATTGTGCAAGTAAATATAGTAATTATTAACGAATGAAAACAAGTACAGAGTTCATGATAACGTGCAATATCGATCGTGATTGTCACACATTGCTCAAGATGTTTAGACGATGAAAATAGATTGAGAATATTAAATTACGTGTTTATTTTACATCTTATACGTTTGATATATATAGAAATCAATCAAGTAAAACGCAAAGTCGTCAGAACGCGAGTCAAACACACCGATGCCCTGAAAATAGACTCGTCAATGTTATTTCTGGATGAGAGATTCATTGTGCAATCGCGAACGTTTGTTCATATCAAGTTCTATCCATCTCAGACAGGTTCGATTTCAAACAAACAATAAAAATGAAACGACTTGCTGTTGTCAAGTTAAACCGACCTTGATATTGCAAGAAGAATCCTCGTGCAGTGTACAGTCTCTTCGTGGCGACAAGGTCGAGAGTGATCACGTTCGAGTTCGAAATGACCTTGACGCCGACCACGGTACCGCAATTCTCGAACAATGTTCTTCCTTTTTCTCGTACTCTCACGATGTCCACGCAACTTCCGTCCGATTCAGGTTCTAAAACACAGTTAGAATATTTTATTACTCATATTTCTCCGTATCGGTATAAGATTCAATTTTTAACTGTTAACAATTATAAACAAGGAAGTTTCACTCCGTTAGATGATTCCTCGCACGAATTTCGAATATAAAATAAATGAAGTTCATTAACTTTCAAAATGCAAGATACAAAGTTCGTAACTGATGCACGTGTAAATTTGACATTTCCAATACCGATTAAATATTAATTCGCGTTCGCGAAGCCGTTCATTTCTCTTGGAAAACACATTGTCACGGCTCGTAATTTCTTGATCGATTGCATGCAAGATCCACGCGAGTTAAATCGGAAGGTGAAGAGAATAACGAGAGATGGCTCGACACGGATCGATACTCACCCCGGATATTCAGATCGTGGAAAGTCAGGACAATCCTGTGCCCAGGAGCCGACCTGAAGGTCCAGCCGCACGTATTCTCGCCGAGATAGTAAAGCGGATAACCTGGTGAATTTATGAAGCCACCCTCTCCAGGGACCACCTTCAGCTCCTCGTTGCAATATCTCTTCACGGCAGCCTCTGGAACAACCGACAAAAACTGTATAAATTCAAAGTTAAAAAACATCCAAACAAAAAAAAAATGAACTGAACGGCATAACATCGATGTACAACGTAAATTCTCCTCTGCGATTCAGTTACGTCACCGAGGGTGGAAAGAAAATTAAATTTCCTTCCTGATATCGGAAGATAAGAAAGAAAAAAGAAAATATAAATTATCCGTATTTGAAACACACAGAAATTCTATTCTCTCCGGTTCGATCCGACTCGATTGAATTACCACCCCCAAGTAAGAGCTCCCGGGGAAGCTATTGTTCGTTACAAAGACACGAAACGACGATACTTCTACCGGCATAAGGACGCTGATCAACATCTGCATCCGTTTCGGTCCATTTGTCGATTTCGAATGTGACTCTGGCCACCATTATGCGACCGAGAGTGTCCTTGCCCCACTTTCCAACGGAGGGGTGAACCGACCGGAGAATATCTACACCTGGAGGGGGCTGATACCGGTTGTAGGGCGTCGAAGGGGTGGCCTAGCCCTTCCCACCTTTCTCATCGTGAAAAAAGATGCTCGCAATTTCGTTCCTTTCGAGCTCATTTTCTGTTCTTTTCAATGAGTAAAATCGCTGTTTTATCGAACCACCGTTGAATTGCACGGCGAAGATTGAAATTTTTGAAATGGGATGAACTTTTTGCATGGAATGTTACAACTGTTGAACTGTGATTTCATAAATAACAACTTTGCTCTTTCTAGCTTTGTTCTTATTCCATGTTATTATTATCATATTGTTGAGATGGAAGCAAGTTTTCGTAATGAGGCACGTATATGAGACGAGGTTTCATTTTGCAAGCAGTAATTTTTTCACCATTAGTGATGCAAACGAAGCGCATATGGGTTTGTTTATATATTAGAAATGATTTATGGCACAGAAACGTCGTGAGAAAGTCAATATGCATATACCGTTCATGGTTGCGTCAGCTGTTGTAAGATATTAGCAATATTTTCAAGTATATTTTTATTCCAATATAAATTATAACAATCGTTAATATTTTTATTCATGATGGATTTTATTGCACATCGTGAAGTTGAAATTATGTTCGATTGAGAAGATATTCGACGACTGTAATTTGCAAGGGATACAAGGACGTTCCTTTCGTATTCAATGAACTTTAGTTGCATCTTTTGCGTATTCGGGACGCGCCTGGTTGCATAGAAACAAGGGATTAGTGTGTCCTTGACAAATTTCTGCCTTTTGTTGCGTGCTGCATGCCATTCATTACGGAATACATGCCAAAAAACTATTGGCCATTATGAAAGTTTCCAATTCTTTGAAGTCGAAGGCTGGAATTGTTTTGAAACACGTGTTCTGCAGAAGTCTCAGAAAATTACAGAAAAACCAATAGTACCATTTTAGGTATGCGATTTAAAAAAAAACTCCAAGTTCCACTTTTTTTTTTATCAATTTTTAACTTTCTTTATAACTTTTACTTGAATTAATTTCTTCCTTTTTTTTCTTAAAAGAAAGTGGATTGCAAAAGAATTATAGAATATTATCTAGATTGTAATAAATTATTCACTATTGGAAAAATAATTTTTACAAAGTCCACGGATAACAAATGTTTCTGAAGGATAAAAATCTGTGAACGTATCGCACGTGACACAGCATTCGTTCTTCGGCTTTGATCTGATATCTTTTTGTTGGAATATCCGGATTGAAGATTATCGATTGAACGTGACTGACGATCGATTGTCTACGTCCCGTAAGTAGAAACGTGATACGCACGTGAAGAATTTCCTGTTTCTCATGTAATAAATTCTATCGGATTATTCAAGAGGTGGAAATATTAAATATCACTTTGAAGAGATAATTGCTTCATTGATAGGTGTGTATTAATTATCTCTTGTGAAGAACTTACCAGGGATACACGCATATTTTAACCGCAAAGTGGCAGGATTCCAATAAACGGCGCCAGGATGATCGGTGATGAAGTTGTAACGACAATGTTTTTGACCAGAACATCTGAAATATTGAAACAACAATCATATATCGCTAAAAAGATTTAACTACTACGAACATCTGAATGAATATACATATTTCGATGCAAATGTTCAATTTCAATTTCTTGAAAACAAATTCGAATTTTCAGATTCTAAATTTATAAGTCTTTAATATTTTCAAGTTCGGGGATCTTCAAAAATTTCAAAGTTTTCGCATCTTCGAATTTTCGCAAATCTTAAAATCCTAAATTAAATGTATTTTATATAAATATATAATCTTAAATATATTTTAATTCCTAAATTTCAGGTTTCAATTTCCAAAGTAAAAGAACACCCTTTTTTTTCTATTACCCTAATAAAAATGAACATAATCGTTATCGCGAACTGGCAAGTGTGATATCGCGTTTTTAAATACGCATGCCAATAAATATTCGTATCGCAAACAGCGCAACGCAGATTTTATCGATTTCTTGTTGCAGCGTCGTCAATTAAATAAGCGACGCCGGTCGTTAGGGGGTGTGTACCGGGTGTCGAAAGCGCCAGCACCCTGCGTTCGACCGGACAAAGGAGAAATCGCGATTGTTTTTAGATCGAGATGATTGTTGCGCAGGGATCGAAAGTGGCTTGGCCTACGTGAAACAATGGCCATGGGGGTCGATTTTCACCCTTTCTGCCGCGAGGGATAAACTTACCCTCTCTCTCTCTCTCTCTTTTCTTTCTCGCCGATTGTATCGCTTCATTCCCTTTTGCCGGAAATAAAAGGGAAATAACGTTTCACGTGCCACCCACGCGAGTAATCTCTTTGAATTTTTCGACGTCGCTAACCTTTCATCGTCACGTTTCCGTCATCAAAATGAGCATGAAACGCGTTTACACGGAACGAATGATCTTTGCTTCTAAACTGCGCATTATGATATTTTATATGGATTTTCCTAGAAATACTGAAGAAATTTAAGTGAGGGTACTCCAATGTTCTTCAAGTGGATAGTTCTATAACTATGGAAGTTTCGTAATGATGCTTGAAATAGCTATTTTCAGATAGTACTCAGATAGCGAACGAATCCGGTGTGTTACGTATCTTCTTAAATGTTGAGAAACTGGCTGGCTTCGTTAAAGATCTTTGCAGAAATCGAGTTCCTTTTCTTTCGAAATTTTTCTACAGATATAACGAGTAGACCTTCTAATACGTATATATGTGATATTGGTGGCGAACGTGTTACATTAATTTTAAATGTTTTCTATGTCGTTTTAAATATTTACACGATCAATTGAAATTGAACTTGTGCAACAGAGAAGAGAGTACGATAAAATCAGTCGGACGCTGCGAAGATGCCAGAAACTTCATCCTAGAGAGGCAGATAGGGTAGTATGCTCCCTCCGGTCCGCAGCTACCCCTTATTTACAAAGTTCATCGAGCTGTGCTCCTCGCGCGCGATGTACTCTCCTGGAAGCGATTTCTCCTTCGACGGGCATCGAACGTCGCTCAAAAGGCAATTAAAACTTCATATACGCTTTGTTGGCGCACATCAAACGGCAATTTTGCGTGCCGAGATTTCGTTCCACTCTTGAAGACAGGTCTGCAGCACGGCACATGCGATTACGAAGAACGAAATTTCAGAGAAACCGAGAGAGAGAGAGAGAGAGAGAGAGAGAGAGAGAGAGAGAGAGAGAGAGCAATTCCTCACGAAAGCAGAGTAGAGGTCTAATTCTACTGCAGTTACTTTTGGTGGGTCTATTCATGCGATTGTCGTAGCCACCCCTGCACCTTCCTGCGAACACATTTGTGGCAGACAATGGTGTACATGTAATACAAGGCGTGACGTAAGACCTCGTACTATTGTAAAATAGATGAAGGAAATAAAAAATGGAAACTGTGGGATATAAAGTATTACGTAAACCATGTTATTTTGCCAGCTTACGGCGAAACATATTTCGTTTGAAGAATAGGTTGTTTGGAAAACTCGTAGTGAAATTTTTGAAAAGATTTTTGTAAAGTAATTGGAATTCTTGTTAAATAATTCTTTATTTATCAATAATGAGAAATAAATTATTATAACTCTTTCTATAAGATCTTGTAATTTTCTGATGAGAGCTACAGAGAATAAATTCTAATGGGATTATTTCGTTTGATTACCCAAAAAAGAATAAATTAAAATGTAATAAATTTAAATTAAAATGTTTTTAGAGATAACGAAGGTCGAACTTGGAGTGAGCGTAGATATGAAAAGAATAGTAGAATGTTGACCTAGATCTGGATCTAGGTCTTGAATCAATGGAAAAGTGAAAGGTAATGGTCAAAGACAAAGAGTTCGTAGACAATAAATTATATACTAGTAGATATTAATACAAAAATAAAAAATTCTAGAAGTATAGATATTGAAGTTCGTTTGCAATAAAATTTTAGTTTATAAGTTCACATAAGACAGTGCACGGGTATGCGATCACATACACGGATTCCTCCGAGAAATACTTTCGTCTGTTAATCATAAATTAAATTATTCAAAACAAAAAAATAAAATAAATTAAATCATTAAATTATCCAAAACAAAAAAAAAAAAAATAGGAATTTATTCTGTGTTTGTACTGCACTGTATCTGCGTATCAGAAATGGTTTTCTAACTCTGTGGTTTAGGGTCCGGTAACCTAATCCAAACCGAATATATACTTTGCTCTCACCTTTTCTTGCGGATGCCTTAGTGGCTGACTCGTATTACCGGAGACAGTTATATTGTGTCGAAATGCGATGAAAAGCGAAAGCAGTGGCTCCGCAGTAAACCCACAAAACTTTAGAAAACATGATCTCGAGCTGCGTTGATCGATTTTGATACCGTGAAATCGTCGACTTATTTCTCTTATGATTTCACACGTTTACTAGATTTCTTCGCGACTAGACCGCGCGTGTTCACACAGATTTATTATGAACACAACCGAAGTCTTACTTTATACACATACATACAGAATACATGAAAATTTGGCATCGTATTCCAATAAAATGAATCTTTTCACGATACATGACATACCTCCTGTTCAACGACTGCCTAATATCCACCACGCCGAATCGTTGTTCATCCTCGGCATCGTCGATATAATTCCCCTTTAGCTCCTTCTTCTTCAACGATAAGCTGTTACCTCGACTCTTGTACATCTTCTTCGCCATCAGTTTCTGCGCGTCGTATCCACAAATGTGCGTTAGATTCGTCAGGTACTCCGCTTCCAGGATGAAGATGAACGCCTTGAGCGATCTGCAGGTCAATCGAGCAGCGCCTTGGGAACAATGATCCTCCTGGACTACTTCCATGTAACCATCCGGTAGCCGGACGCCTTTCAGAATCTTGGCAAACGGCGATTGAGTGCTCGCGAGGATACTTTTCGTCGACGAGCATCTCGCGGCCATCGCCATCAGCAACAGCAGAAGACTCGTCAGGGCCGTTGCTCCTGGCGCCATAGCCGTTGATCATCACAGAGGTCGAGATAGTCCTTCTCTTTCTCTCGCTTTCGAGACGATCTTAAAATTAGCCTACTCGAAACGACGAAGGAGTCAAGTGCACCGATAACCGTGGATCAATTTTTCTCTGTTTCTTGTTTCTGCTTCTGATATGGCCAGCCAGCGGCACTTTGGCTCGCTGGAACCGCGCTCGGACACTCGAGGACCACTTTATGCGCCGGGTCAATGATCCTCGTTTCTTCGTTCTCTATTCGTCGAGCCTGTGAGAAACATGGTACGTGAGGGGGATGCGAGAAGAAACTTTGAAGGAGGGTAGAAGGATAGGCTAAATTCTGGCCGAAACAAGCCTCATTACAGAGTGTTATCGTGAAAGTAGTGGAGTGATAAAGTAGTGTTGCAAGTAGTTTGTTCCGGCGTGAGAATTCCGCTTCGACTTAGTTATCTTTGGCAGAATGTAAAAATACACTTACAACTAAGTAATACCAGTATTATTAGAAAATAAATTCGATTGTACGATAGCTTCAATGAAAAGTAAAATCATCCTGGATCCTTTCGTAACTAATTTACATTCTGTCAAAAATAAATTAGTATCCGCATTTTAATATTGTCTATGCACTGTTTCTTGCAAGAAACTGAAGAGTATTTCTCTCCGGTTTTAATAAATTCGCCCCTGAACTACGTTAAATGAATTAACCTACATACGAGTGTCGTCTATACAAATGAAAAATCTTCAATCCAGTATTACGTAAAAGAAGTTCTTTCAAACGTTGTTATATAAAAAGAAGTTCTTTCAAAGGACTTCTTCTTCACGTTAAAGGACACTTGATTCACAAACGGAACTTACCAGTAACGTCTTCAGGTTGTTCGTCCGAGCCGAATAAATTCTCAAAGGATTCTTGCGGAAGGGAATGCGACCAATAAGACGGATAAACTGGAGAAGACTGAAGCGGTAGCACGATTATTTCTCGATGAAAATCGTAGCTCTCTTTATTTTCGATCCACGTGCTCGCCTCTCAGAAGCCCTCAGGTTTGTTGCCACGACGAAGAGGCCCCGGTGCGCGATTAATCGGCCACGGCCAAGTTCCAGGCTTCCAGACAACGCTGTATACCGGCCGTTCAAGGACACGGATTAGAATAGTATCGGGAATGCACGTCTGATTTTCACAGCTTTTGTACATCAGATTCGCTATTAATCACTGGTTACACATTTTGCGAGTTTCTCTGATCATTTCTCTCCTCCTTTTGTTTCTTTAGAAACGTTTTAAAAAAAAATATTCTTCCAATTTAAAAAATTTCCCTTTTAGTGATACAGAAGTTTCTTTTGATTTTGAAACAGAAAAGTTCCCCCGTTTAAAATAGAAAAATTCTTTTTTAACTTTCGAATAGAAAATCTTTCGTTGAAGATAGAAAATTCTGTTTTACGCCTAGAAATTTCTTTGGAATTTGGACTATTCTTTGGATTAATAGAGAGCTTGTTTGTGTAATTTTGGCGTAATATGTTGAATACTGGGAAGATCTGGTTGATTGGAGATCGTTATATTTGTGTTGTTAGTCAGCTTCGAAGTAAATGACGTTTCTGTTTTATTTCAAGAACGAGGCGTACCGACGATGTTAGAAGATCGGACGAGGCTCGACTATTTTTGAATTAACGTTATTCTTCTCCAAGCCCATTAAATCTTTCTCAAAGTAGTTCGTAAACTATCAAAAGCTTCTTTGGTAAATTGTTAGACTTTACGTTCCAATGCGTACGATCAGTCTCTTAGAAGGAAATCTTACGATGTGTGCATTAAATCCTTTAAAAAATTTCGCATACAAAAATACGCGCTTCGACCACGGATTCGACGACTTTATCCATTAATCTCGTAAAAAAATATATTAATAATTCACTTCCATATTTTGCATAAACTACTCTCAAAAATATAATATCCAATTCTCTTCTTTTTCTTCTTGTTCACTCTCAACGAATTATCTTTGTCAACCGATTTTCATAGAATCACAACCAAATTTAATTGCATAAAAAATTTCGTACACAATTTTTCAATGAATCTCCAAAGTTACAGATCGATCAATTAATGACAGACATCGATCTCGGTTTATCAGCCACTATCGACCAACATTCGCTGTTCTTTCTCTGCGATCACAAGCGGTCTTTCCATCTTAAACAAACACATTCTGCGATCACCTATTCCCAAAGCTTTCCTCTTCGGTTTTAATCAACCACATCACGAAGTATAAATTACGTTAAATCTCTCTTGTTTGTCTCAATCATCTCGTCAATATTGGATCTTTCGAAGTGTATAAATCTTCGCCAATACTCTGCAGCTGTGCAACAGGGGGTAAGTGAAGGTTTCCAAAGCTCTGTCGACGCGCCGTGATAAATCAACGCGAAAAGCTGCTGAGGCTATTCATCAAAATCCCAGCGTGCTCTTTCGCTATCTTCGCCTCGCAACCTTGCGCCGAAGGTATTTAGAAACCTATCCTACGTGATGCTTCAAATTTGCGAGAGATGAAGGAGCAACGCTTGGAACACTCATTTCGACACTTGAAACTTCTCGATTTCATATTTTTCACATTTTACATATTACGTTTATATATTTTATCATGTTTTATATTATATTACACTATATTTTACATATTTCCATATATTTTTCCATACAATTTTCATTCGAATATTCGATCGACCCTTCGTAAAACATTTAAAACACTTAGACTCTCACTTATTTCATTACTTACACTTCACTTGAAATCTTCTTCATATATTTTTTATTTCGATATTTTATGTATCCTTGCAATAAGAAGCCAGGCGAGGTTTAATTTTGCACACAGATCGCAAAGTCACAAAAGTCACTTGTGAAAAAGGAAAGAAGAAGAGGTTGATGTTAGTGACGTGGTAGTGGATGATCTAAGTTTGCCGCCGATTCCGTTTGTCGTTGGTCGAGGGAAAAAAGAATTAGGATCGCCGCGTGTATGCGAGTGAAAGGAGCGCGCTGTTTGGCGTCGTGCCTGACACTGAAGAAACACACGCACCGAAGTGACCCGCTCCTGTCGACCATTCGTTGCCGTGTAGCGTGCACTGTCAGTCCGTTCTCTAACATTGACAGCCTAAACTGCGAATCCTATGAGCCATTGGCGTCCATGCTACCCCCGGAAGCCGGCGTCCCCCGCCAGCCTGCTACTCGAAGCTGTTAGTAAGCTGGGTTGAAAATGATTAAAGGTTTAAAGGTGGAGAGCTTAGTGTAAAGTCGTAAGTACTTCGATGTTGGTGAACATTTGAATTGTTTGAATACAAATTTAATTAGATTCCTTGACATAAGCATCTTTTATATACATATACATGTGTGTGCAAAAGTCTGATACTAGTAAATTCTTCTTAGATAAAATATCTTATCTTTTTAAGACTTGTTATAATATCTTAAGGCTAGTATGAAATAATTACTACATATATCAAATTGAGCGAAAAATATCAGAATTAATTCAAAGAATTTAATAAAATTAATACCACAAAAGTGGAAAATGTTACAACAAACATTATATTTTGGATATTTTATATATTTCGTGCTCATTCTATACCATTTCGCATAAAAATCCAAAATCAAATGATAAGAACGACGATCATTTGCAAACATCAAACGAGTAAATTAAAGCGCTGAGAATTAATAATGCAGACTACTACGAACTACCATTCGCCCTTTGCTTTTACCCTTCGCAGTCTACTCTTCGATCGCTCAGCGATCTCCAACTTCTAGAACCCAGTGTACCCTGTTCCAACAAACGCTATTCTTCAGATATACTCCGGCCCTCGATGAAAGTAAATACAGAGGTGAACAAGGTAAACTTCGTACTTCCTCGTCGACGAGTTTGCTTCGTCTTAATTGCCTGATTAGGGAAACGCGAATTAATTTGAAAGTTCTGCGCGTGTATCGAGTGGTTGGAGATCCCTGATCTAGGGGGCCCACCCCACAACAGCACGTGCACGTTTTTCGGCCGCGCGAAGGGCACGCTCCCGGGGTGGTTTTTCCCTTATCCGGATCCTCCCCTTTAATCTCCAGCTTGCTTTCTTCCATGGAAGATCGGTTTGTGATTTCGACAGCTGCTCCTTTCGATTCGTGCCGCGACAATTCCTTTCGTTTCGATTCCTTGAATCGAACCCGGTTGGGAATGAAAGACTCCTCGGATAAACTATCGAAGAATTTCTTCGTTTTCTTTCGTCGAGGGGATTATGGAATTTTTCCACGGGTCGAAATTGTTGGATCAGTATTGCATGAAGGAAGGTAAATTAAATTTTTAACGGAGAATTACAAAGCGAAAGTAAAGTTGTTGAGAATAGAGTGTCTTAGCTGTGAAGGAACGTGAGTTGCGTTTAAGTATTATGGCAATTAATGGGAAGGTTACTGTTTTGACACTTTTAATCTTACATGATGTTAATAGTATGTAAGATTCAGAAGTTTGTCTCTTGAACAATTGCAAAAATTTAATTAGCAGGTGCAATAATTATAATAACAATCTTATTTTAAAATCAATAAAGTAACTTTACGATATTACTAACATTAATAATATTAATAACTTAATTTTTGAGAAAGTAGTGCAAATACATTATGTTTCTTTTGTAAATTTCTTTTTATAACTGTTAATACTGTTTGAAAGTACAAAAACTTCTTGATAAATAAATTTTCGTCACATCGTACGCAATCTGAAAATTACGCTGATTCGTAAATGTCCTTGTTGCCCTATGAGATCATGCGTTCAATATGGTCACCCACTGCTTTGGGCAGAATGCATTCAGTGTTAGGCTGGTAACAATGCGTCGAGCTTATCCCGAAATCACAATTTCCACATTTTCCCTATTCCGATTCTCACGTTTAATCCCTCGTTTCTAGTCTTGAACCATTGAGCAGATCGACCTGTGATCCAGCTGTCACTATTGTCCTTCAACGTCATCTTTTCATCGAATTCACAGACAACATTTGTCGCAAAAATTCTCCATATGTATCGATGAGTCATAGCTGGTCAATGTCAAGAGAAATTCACCTCCAATTTCGATTTTGTCTCATTGAAATTTTGACAGTTCCTTCGATAACTGTAAAAAAATTTTTCATTCGAAGGAACAATGATAATTTTGTTAAAGAATTTGCATATTTGTAGTTGTCGCAGAAGCAGAAAGTTATCAGTTAGTTCTGATATTGATAAGTGTGAAAGAAATTGTTTTATCTGATCAACAGCTTCGTAGCTATTCTAGGCTTGACTTCCACAAGTCCAGTAAAAATAGAGAACGTTAGGGTGAAAGGGTAAAAATATTACCCTTTCACCTTCATAAAACAAACAGTCTGATACGATACAGAAAAAGTGTAACAAACATTGAAATATCACAGATCGTAAGCTTATTAAAACTATCAATGCTTTTATGCCATTAACCATTACAATTTCCACATACAAATTGATTTCAAATTTCTATGTAGAAATTGTAATGATTAATAGCTAAAAGCATTGATAGTTTTAATAAGCTTACGATCTATAAATAATTATAATCTAGCTTACGATTCTAACATAATTATAACCTATCTCGTTATACAATACTCGTGAAATTTCAAAATGTTTCACGTAACATTCAAAATATCGATATATAAGTTTTCCATGTGACAAATATCCTGATACTTTCGTGAGTTATATAATTAAAACAAACAAATTTCTGTGTATAGTCGTAATTGAGAAAGTGCAATAGAATATGAAAGTGAAGCCTAAATAACTTCATTTTCCAAGTTGTCATCGATCGAATTCAAGTTATACGAGCCACATGCTTCTTCAATCTCCAATTTCTCCGTTTCGTCTGAAGAACATCCGTTGCCTGGACAGTTTTTTCAGACGAGCCTCTTCATCTGTCTTACTTCACAGGTAACGTGCGGAGACTCCTTACTGCCATTGTCGAAGAAGAGACCTCCAGAAGCGTGGAGCATCACTTTTGCACGCGATTGGCCCATTGTCCGTAGCACGTGCGTTCTCGTAACGTGCATCTGCGCCTCGCCGTTCCGAGAAGCTTCTTTTCCACGGATGTACACCGGTTGTCATCGATCCTTCCTCTTCGTTGTTCATAAATCAAGCAGGAGGAGACTCTAGACGTCTACGGAAATCAGGAAGCGAGTATATCGAGCATCTGCCGCCACGTGAAGACGATCATTCTCAGAAAGGAATGCGTTAAACCAGAGGTGATGCGCCTCGTAACGTGTGATTTATTTGTTG